ACGAACCTTTTTATGATCTCATGTCACTCTATACGATCTTCATCCAATTTTATAGAACCTCATATGACCTTATAAAGGTCAATTTCAGGTTTTTAAGGTCATATTGAGGTCTTGTGGGGTGATATTGCGTCGGGTGGAGGTTTATAGGAGCTTGTAGAATTTTATTATGTCATTCGAGTGTGGTATTAGGTCATATAAAGCGCATATGAGGCCATTTGAAGGTTTTGCAAGCTCATACGAACCTTTTTATGATCTCATGTCACTCTGTACGATCTTCATAAAATTTTATAGAACCTCCATGTGACCTAATATCAGGGCTTCACATCACTATTTTCTAAGGTGATATAAAAAATGTCATATTAATCATATTAGTGGTTTATGAGGTCATATGAGGGTCATACAAATTTTGGAAAAGGACCCAAAAATTAGATTTGATTTCTATATGACCTAATATCAGGGTTTGATATCACGATTCTGCAGTCATAATAGCTCGTATCAGGCTATATTAAGATCATTTTAAGATTTTATGGGGTCATATGGAGGTTTTTTCGTTCATCTAAACCCCCTATCACTTCGTAAAACCTTTAAATGATCTAGGATAATCTTCTAATGATCTTTATATGGACCCTTCCACATTAGCTCATATGAAGGTCAAACGAGGTTATGGGGAGGTTTTGTAAAGTCAAATGAGGGTCATATAGGGGTCATAAGAAGTTGTTTCGTAGACATGAAGAGAGGAAATGTCCCCATTAATTTAATCAATGTCAATTTACTTTTTCTCAAATCCAATTATTGTTCTGAATTTCCCGAGAAAAATTTTCCCCTTTGAATACCCAAATAACCCAACGTGACAGGCAATGTCAAACCCACTTCGTCCAACGCCAAACCTTCCCATAAATTCCCTTTATCGAGGGTAATTACTCTCCTGATGGAGACCAACATAAGAGAAAAATTAGTGGTTCCAACTGAGAAAAGGAAAAAGAGAAATAATGGAGGGTAATTGACTCTGCGGTTGGTTGAGACAAACGTTGCCTCGCTCTCGTACATCCGAGACTCTCTCAAGAAATCCCGGGGATCGACACAACCCTTGTTTTTCCACTAGTTTCATACACGCCCTTCACTGCAATGCTGTACCATAAGTAAAATCGATAACTCCGTACCTCCGTATCGTCCTTAGTGCTTACGCAAGCACTCTCCGTAATGCCGATAATTTTTGAAAAAAAAGGGGGGTGGGTTGTCATAAAAAGTGGGGAAAATACTTTGGCGTCTCGTTCTTTTTCTCTCAGTTTTCATTCCTTTTCATTCCAGAAAATGTTTTGGCATTAACAAATTTTATTCGATAAATGATAAATGATTTGATGATGCAAAAATTACTTCAGAATTAAACAATTACAAACGATAATTTGTTTGAATTAATTGTCAATGGATGTTATGAATTTTTATTTTATTTAGTATCAAATGAAAATAATGCGTGGAACCTCGGGGAAGGAAATTGTGGGCGGAATTTCCCTCGAAGAAAGTCATAAAACATCGTGATATATCAGTCACTCATGGATCCCTGCTATTTCAACTCGTAAAACTTTCCTCGAACGAATCGCCCACGTGTGGACACGAGATTGCATTTTTTTTTATTTCATGTTGATTTCCATTTCACGGGATCCCATTACCAAGGTGAAATGGTCATTTGTTTTCTTGAATCACCCCTTTGGTATTCCAATTACAGTGAATGAGTTATGATTTGTATTCTCCGGCAATAACCTCGGTCCTTCCACGCGATACACCGGAAATAATAAAAGCGGAATGACTGAAAGCAATCACTTGATAACCGGTAATAATGGAGATTGGACAAATATTGCGATGAACTGGTGTTTCCATCCCTGTTGATTCAGTTTTTTTTCCGTTTTCGGAGTAATTATTATTGGGAAAAGTTTTTCGACGGATCGAAACGGGGGGGNGGGGGGGGGGGGGGGGAATCGAGACGAGGGGAATTCGTCGGCTTAAGCTGCGGAAATGTATTGAGACAGGTAAACGAATGGTCAGACTCCCGAGAGATATCTGTCGGATTTTTCTCCCAAAACTCCTCGATCACGTCGGACCATTCCAATGTCCTATCTCTCAAGTTGAAGAGTGAGTGGCTTTTCTCTCTATGCTTCGGCCGGAGGAGAATATTGAGGTCGAAATTAGCAATATCGTTCGCAATAGTTTTCAACGATTTGATAGCACGATTTGATCTCACTTAACGGGAGATTTTAATCTGATACATTTCAATATTTTTGTCTTATTTTTCTCTCAGTCTGCAAAAATTATATTTTAACAGTATTATCCAATTTTTTTAAATCAATTTTTAGGAGTCAACGATGAAATGTCACAGACAATTTATGATTGTCGGAAAGTTGAGGATTTAAATAACAAATTAATGGGGTATTATTGGTATACTGATGATGGTATGAATAATTATGTTGAGTTTTGAATGGGTATTTGGAGAATGGTCAATCATTAATAGAGAATTTTTATGATTTTATTATTTACGTCTAATGCTTCGTTTAAAAATATTTACAAAAATTTTATAAATACGAAAAATTGGAAAGTCTTTGGAGAAAGATTAAATATACAAAATGATTAAAAAAGTTTGAAGATTATGAAATTTTTTAATCAATTATTTATAATCCTTCAATTTCCCACTCTAAAAATAATTTTTTTTCGTAATTTGATTTCAAAATTTTATAATTTTTTAATATTATGACTTTTCTGATTACGAAATTTTCTCATTCATTTCAATAATATTTTTGTTGAAAATTAATGAACATATAACTTTATTTCAATGTAAAATTTTCAATTATATAAAATAAACAGTTTTTCAATTCAGAATAAATTCTCGATTAGACTCAAATTAAACAAATTAAACAAACTAATTTCCCTTTTAACTATCAAAGTCTTTATTTGTAACGAATACCCATTTTTTTAGATTTCCAAAATTACTCACTTAACTTGAATTAAATTTAAATCCCTCCTCTGCGTATTCTTGGAAAATAAAAAAGAAAAATTACGATCAGAAATAGCAATTATTGACATTTCAAATGTTTAATTATATTTTTTTCAAGGCATTAATTAACGAATGACCCTCTTTAACCGCTGACTTTTCCTCTCCCCGCGCCTGGCCAACTTGCTGACGGGGAATTAGGAAAAGGTACTCAGAGCAAGGAGTAATTAAGCGCTTTACGCTCGGTCACTTCTAACCACAATTGTGCCCCTCGGTGTACTTCACACGCAGCAAAAGTCCACTGAGGGGCTTATAACAGCCCCAGCGACATCCTCAATATGACGCGTCAGAATAATTATTGAGGGACGGAAGATTCATTAAAAGTTTACGACACTTTCATCAAATAATTGACGAAGTAAAGAACAAAAACATGCTCCAAGTTTGTTTACCTTTTGCTCTGCCATTGTCGTGAGCGATCGTAAAACTTGGATGCCCCATTTTTTTTCGGTCTCCCGTTAGAATTTTATGACCCAGTGAGCGTTGACTGTAAAAAGCTGCGGGGGCTGGGGAGGGGGAGGAAAAAAAAACCGAGGAATCGACGCTCCGAGAGAAGTGAAAAAGTACGATCTTTGTAAGACAGAATGAAACATTGGAGTTACAGTGGAAAATGTATGACTTTCGTTAGACCAGCGGTACGTCGATCCAAGGGGAAATGGTGCAACGCTGGGGAGACAGTGTTACCACGTGTTTCAGGACTTTGCAACGTTGCGATAAATGGTGCTAATTAATATCGGGAGGGAAGTGGGGGGTAAATAAAATTTCAGAATTATCCCAGGGTATTTTACACGGTCAACCTTAGATGTTTTTAAGGCATAAATTACTTGGAAAGCGGGATGCTACACATTATCCATCGACTTTCCGGACCTCTATATGAGGGAAATAATTAAATAATTATCAATGCACAAATTAAAAAATTCGGAGGCACACGGGCTCGAACACAAGTATGGGTATTGTTGTTAATTCGAAGGTATTGTTGGGAAAAAGTTTAAATTTTGTGGATAGTTGGGTAGCAATTTCCAGGGGGGAGATATTGAATTGGATTGGGGGGAAAAATAATGAAATTTTAGATTTGGGAGGGATTTCATTGAAATTTCGTATTTTTGAGGAATAAAGAGGCATAGTTGGGATAATCGAATAAAATTGTAGTTTATTCGAAGACATTTATTGGAAGAAAATTTACAGTTCATCGAAAATTGAATTTACAGTTTAATCATTTTCAGGGGAGTGACATTGAACTCGATTCAAAGGAAAAACTAATGAAATTTCAAATCTCACTAGACATCCATTGAAATTTCACAATTTCCTTAAATTTTCAACCAAAACATGAATTGTGCTGAACTCAAGAATATATTAATTTGAATTTTCTCATCTTTTCTTAATTTACATAAAGACTAAAAATAAACAAAAGAGATAATTGACGAAATTGTACTGAACTAAAAATTTCAGATTCTCATCAACTAAAATAACCAATTAATTACTTCCAGATAATTCGTCTATATAATAAATGCATTCCGTTAGCCCGTAAATACAGTAAATAAAATAAAAATTTTTCCTCGACTAACCCCCTCCTAAAAAACCAAATCTTCAATATTATAATCCACGTCGTAGAACGGCGTATTCCCCGTCGCTTCCACCAACTCTCGACAGACTTCCAGGTCAAGGGATTTGCCTTCTCTCACCAGCCAAAAATTTTCAGCACCACCGCTGACCCCGCCAAATGAGGTATACGTGTCCTTCCTCATCCCTCTCCAGCATTCACGCGAACCTTCTCACTCGCATTCCAATGTACATTCTGCGCGTAAAGACTTTATTCCGTACACTGACGGTGGGAGAATATCCACGGCCACGGCGGCAAGAGATGTACGCGGGTGGGAGCTTGCGCCGAGTGGACAAACTCTCGTGAATGCTCGCCGCCTCGTCGGTGAGGCGTCGTTCGAGATCCAGTTGGAAGTTGCCGGGACACGACCTCGCATGTCACCCCCTGATCCTCGTCGCACCGTCGAAAAACATTTGTGTTTACCTCAAGCGATGCGGAATGTGACAATCCCCTCAAAACATAATAACGAAATAAATTTCTAAATCCGGAGGAACCGCTGATTTTAAAGCTAAAAAGTGCTCCCAAGAGTTTTTTAATTTCACGTTTCGAACTAAATGAAAAAAGTTTTTACAGTGAATTTACTCGTTTTTTTATCTCGCAGCGATTCAAATTATTGAACGGAGTTTGTTATTCTCGGGAAAAAGTTTGCACAGTGCTTCCCGAATGAGGGATGGGTGAGGTATGGCAGTGAGATTTTATACCAAGGGTGCTGAACGTGTTTCGCAACGTCGAGGAAACAATGTGAGCTTTCGATCATGAAGGTGAGTGGTTTACATATTTTCACACTGGTTCCCGCGTTTCGTCGGGAAATTGGAAAACACGTCTCCCGCAGTCGAGAGAGGGAGAGTTCAGGAGGGAAATTTTCGAACAATTGACTGTTGAAAATTCATTAACTGAATTGGAGATGATTGCGGAGGTGAACAGAAACTTTGCATAATTAATTGTTTCAGTGAAATGTGTAGACAGTACGGATGTTATTGAACATTTGCAATATTTCAGATTTTGGTTGTTGCAACGGTTTCCAAACACACGGAGAACTGTTTCGTTTTAATTCAATGAACTTTTAGTGATGTCCTCATTCAAACTTGAACGAAATATTGATTAAAAATGCATAAACCATTGGTTTTTTATAATTGGAATATTTTCATTGGGATAAAAACATCGGTCTCGTTATTACCAGCAGAAATATTGTTGAAGTGAATAAACAAAATTCGAATGAACAATTTTATTCGATTTGATTGCGTCATTTCTCTGGGTGAAGCTGTAATTTCGCCGGTGTTAACTCCTGATTAGTGCATTATTCAACGGTAACGATCTCCCCCATGAACAAATTTTTCCCCCTCTCTGATGGACTGCACAAGAACTAGTTAAATCCGTAGTTTAATTATTCCGCTGAAATTAAAAAAAAGAATAGAGAAATGTTTTATTTTAATTTAATAAACTTCAACGCTTAATGATTTTAAATGAATAATTTTTTTAATATAAAAAAATATTCATTTGGAATGAATAATTCATCCACCTCAACAGAAATATTCTTGAAATAAAAAATTAAAAAATTTAAAAAAACAAATAAAAATTTTTATAGCTATAATTTCACCAGTCTTAACTCGCGATTGGTACATTACCCACCGGCAACTATCTCCCCCACGTACAAATTTTTTCCCCTTTCCCCATGAACTGCACAAGAACTAGTTAAACCCCTATTATCATTGTTCCGGCGAACTTAAAAAATATCAAACTATTTCCATTTAAAGAACAATTAATTCAATTGGCAATAATTACAAAGATGAACATAATTTTTAATGTTCTCATTCAAACTTCAACTTGATTATAAATAAATAATTCCTTAAACATAAAAAAATATTCATTTGCAACGAATAAATCATCCACCTCAAATAATTAAAACATGTTCATTGAAGCAAAAACATCAGTCTCGTCATTACCAACAGAAAAATTCTTGAAATAAAAAAAAAAAATAAAAAAAAAAATAAAAATTTTTATAGCTATAATTTCACCAGTGTTAACTCGCGATTGGTACATTACCCACCGGCAACTATCTCCCCCACGTACAAATTTTTTCCCCTTCCCCAAGAACTAGTTAAAGTCCTAGTATCATTGTTCCGGTGAAATTCAGAAACCCCGAGACACTAGCGGTGACAGCAACGTTATTTCTCATTCCCGGTACGACCTTTTCCCTCTGAACATCCCGTCCTCCTTACCCCATCAAGTATTCGCTCGAGGGTAAACGAGGGTGGGTAGGGCGTACAAACCTCCTTGTGTATCCCTGTTTTTACCTCCTGCCTCTTCAGCCCCCCCCCCCCCCCCCCCCCCCCTCCCCCCCCCCCCC